CTCGCTTTTTTAAATATGTTTTCTAATATAACGGCTAATAATGTATATGGAATGTCACCATTTGACCATCTTAAACAATGTAAATTTTGCTCTAACCAAGAATTCAATTTTTTATATTGTGAATTAATTTCTATCCATTCACATGGTGGTTGAAATAAAAAATTATACGGTCGTTGTACTTTTTTTCTTTTTTTTTCATTTAACGGTAAAATAGCGAGTTCTTTTACAATAAATTTATTTTCAGGCATTTTAAAGCCCTGAACATCTACAACGTACTCCATTCTGTTGACAAATGACTAATAAAACAAAAAATTTTGTCAATTTATATAATTTTTTTAACTCCCCCACTTATAGGTTTATATTCCACTACTCTGTCGTGTAAAATGAGACAATAGGCTGCAGTTTGAGCGGGAAAATTTTCTTTAGCTTCAAATTCAAGTCGAATGTCAACAGGACCATATTTTAAAGATTCATTTTGCTTTGAGCAATCAATTACTATTAGTGGAGCATAATTTAAAAATTCTGCTTTTGTCAAATATGGTTGTGATTCTCTATCATAATAGTAACTAGCTTGAAAATTTATATACATTTCATAGAGTACAGCATAGTGTTTCTTATCAATGTCAACATTAAGATTACCATATGGATAGCATTGATTGTTTAAAAATAGCTTAACGTTTGTAATTTTACAATGATCAAAGTGACTTGAATTTCGCGTTAATACATTTTTTCGATTTGTTTGGAAACCTAAAATAACAAAACGTGGTTTCTCCAATTGCGTTGATGTTTTAACAGTCCACACGTGATTAGCTGTTGTTGGTATTAAAGGATACTCGTATAATTCCCATGTTCGAAAACTTATAGGAATGAGAGGATCCTTTTCAATGTATTTGAGTAGTTTGAATTTTCTTGCATCTGATAAGCGGACATTGGGTAGTAACCATTCGATTTTATCGATGGAAATTTTTACATCTTCTGGAGCTGTTTGTATAATTGCGTTGACGTCACTTCTCGCTCGTGTTAAAATTAATTCGTGTCTAGCGTTTACAATAATTTTTTGATAATCCTCAGCGAAACCAAAAATAGTGCTTAAAGGTATTGCAACATCAAAATTACCATTTTCATCAATTAGAGACTTGTTTGCATTGCACGTTGGAAACCAACCGGCATTTTTCAAAAATTTACTCTGATTACTATAAATTGACACGTAATTTTTCATTAGACTCGTGAGTCCGACATTTTTGCTTTTATCAATTTCAACGGCATTCAATTCATATCGTGCTTCTTCAAATAAATGACAAATTGCATTAATAATAAATCTCGTACTGGTCACTGCTGTACTATTTTCTTTTACCAATTTTCCCTGAATGTGTAGAGAACTTTTACCTGGTAAAAGACAGTGGTCCTGATTTTGTACGGCAATTCGAATTTCATCGCTGTTATTGAATGTTGATGCAGCGTATGGTAAATGTGCATGTATCTCATAGTCAGCAATAGATTCATCAAAAACAATTGGTTTTCCAATACTCAACACTTCGTTATCCATTTTTATTTTTTTGTTTTACAAAAATTAAGTTTTCTAAAGAGAAAAACAATGAAACAATTGCAGATAAATTTGTTTCTTTTTATTTTTTTCGATTTCATCTTTTCTCCTGTTGTTTGATCACTTTCAATCCTAGACTCTTCTATAGTTGAATGTTTTCTGGTGTTAACACCTTGATTGTAGATTTGTAACTGATTCTTTTTTGACATCCTTTACTCTTCTTATAACCGTAACCAGTTATTTTTCTATTAAATACAATTCCCATGATTTTTTTTTCTATAATGATTTAATGTGTAATCGAATAGTTATTGTTTCACCACGAAAATTTACAATATCTCCGTCTTGATCGACTATTCGTAATTGAATGTGATCAATTGTCTTCACAGCGACTGGTAAATAAATAACTTGAGATGGGACTTCAACTATCTTATATCCTGGTGGTACACTGGGAAAAAATTCATGAACAGTGTGCACTTTATGATTATTTATATACGCACCTGTTGTAATGTTACACTCGATTCTCAATGAATTAACCTTTATAATAGAAACTGGTGAATAGTGAACTGGTGAAGCCGGCTTCAAGTATCTGTGGTCTAAAGCCCAACAATTTTGCTATTGTATCAGATTTTTTAAAATTTATCTCAAAATTAGACTTAATCTCGCTACGTAAAGTATTATTGTTTGGTTTAATGTTGAGTTTAATTCCTTTTGGTGTCAAAATTGGCTGTAAATAACGTTCAATATCACTTATTTCATAGCTACTAGTCGGTATTGTGATATCTTCTTTATCGACATAAAATTTATTTTGTCCAATATCTATATTGGGAATTGAATTAAAGGTTAAAAATTCAACGAGTCCAAGAGCGTAATGTTTATTGGGTGATAATTCAATTGGTGGAAAGTATTGTGTCTCTAAAATCGATGTATTTCCAGACAAGGTTAACGTTAATGAATCGTTCATTTTGCTGGTTCAATGTAAACTGAAGAAAAAAATTGTTTCTAGTCTTTATTTATAACAAAAGAGAGAGAATAGAAATTTTTTGCAGCCAATTGATTGCACAAAAATTTTAAACATAAATGACCGCACACAAAAGTATTGTAATTTTGATATCTTTTGTGATTGTATTTTATTGTTTTTACATTAAGATATTTTACAAGATCTCTAGGTGGTTGAAGATTTCCATAACTATCAAAATATATAACATCATTTTTTTTCTTTTTATATGCAACCCAGTGTGTACCAATACTATTTTTACTATCTAAATTAATTATAGCTGATTCAAATTTATATGGTCCTTTAGCTGGTAATTCATCACGCATAAAAACACCTCGAAAGTGAGAAATTTTCAAAATTTTAGCATATTTAAGTAAATCAGAATTTGTTAACGCTCGATGTGGTAATTTAACAAATTTTTTCATCTTTAGTTTTTTGTTTTTTTCTTTTACAGCACATTCTAATCCTAATCCCTGCTTGTATGGCTTGAGATAGAGACCTTTTCCCAAAGCTATAGATTCCATTGTTTTGTTATGACGTTGACTTTCTTCGAGTTTCTTTTTTGCTGCTTTTGCGTCATTAACTGCTTTTGTAATTCCAACAGCACCACCAGATAGGGCCCCTATTGCACTAAGTCCAGCAAAAAGTGGTACAAGAAATGGTAGAAAACTACCAACTTTTTTTGGTACTGGTAGAATTCGAGGTTGTTTCACTTTTCGTTTTCCACCTGCGATTTTCACAGCTAAACGTGCACCTCTTAGAGCTGATTTAATAGCAGAAGATGTACTACCATTGTCGGGTGCAATGGATTTTTTTGCAGCCAAAACAATTTTTTTCAATGGAAATATAGCCTTATTTTTTTTCTTTTTAATAACTTTTCTTTTCTTCTTCAATCCCATTCCTAATTTTGTTTTTAATTTCATTGCGTTTGCAACAGCATAAGCTGCTGCTTTTTCACCAAGTTTTGCGTCACTAGCGTGTACACGACTCCAAGCTTTTTCAGCAAGTACTTTGTCTGCTGCGTGTCGATTTTCAAGGTTATTCCTATTTTGAGAATAAGCTATATCGTGTTCTTTGCAAGCTTAATCGAGAGGATTAATACCAGGATCACCGCGTGCTAATCGTTTTTCTAATTTTGTTCCAGGTCCACAATATTGATAACCAGGAATATGTAGTTCCACAGGCAAACTGTTGATAAGTTTATTTAAGAGACCTTTACCACGTTTGACAGGTTTTCGACGACTGATTGCTTTTTTCTTTACACGCATGTTGATACTCGTTTAATGTTTTTTTAAAGACTAAAGTGAAAAGGTATAAAAGCGAGGTATTTATAGGTTTTTGTGTCAGTTTAAGGTACAATGTCAACCTTGAAGGTTGATTTTACTCAGATCCAGCGTTTCTTACTGAATTTGAAAATTTCTAAGAACCTATGACAGTAATAGTCAATTATGCAGTCAATTTTATAATCATTTGAGGATTCTAAGTGCTTTAAACTCCCACCACAACCGCAAATTGAAGATTCAATTCGAGATTCAAAACTCCTGGCAATCAAAAAGTACAAAATCGAAATCGAGATACAAAATTCCTGGCAATCAAAAAGTACAAAATCTGGATACCTCTTCACGAAAGAAAAGATCTTTATGAACTGACGCATAAACAAATAAAAACCTTGTATTTATAGTTTTTCATGTCAGTACGCATCAAGATGGAGTTCAAAGAGCAATCAATAAAATTACCAGTTACAAATTTTGACAAAATGACGCAACAAAAGACGGAAAAAAAACGTCATGGAAATTTATTACCCAATACGGTGCGAGCTATTTTTGTGGGCCTTCAAATTGTGGAAAAACAAATGCCCTACTCACACTACTCTTACATCCAAATGGACTACGTTTTGAAAATATCTACATCTTCTCTAAATCTTTAAATCAACCAAAGTATAAATTCTTAGAGAAAACACTTCAACTAGTTGAAGGTGTTGAGTATTTTCCATTTAAAGAGCATGAAGATGTTATTCAACCTAATGAAGCTCAACCAAATTCAACAATTGTCTTTGACGATGTAGCATGTGACAAGCAGGATAGAATTAGAGCATTTTTTTCAATGGGTCGTCATAGACTTATTGATTGTTTCTATTTATGTCAAACTTATACACGAATTCCTAAACATTTAATTCGCGATAACGTTAATTTTTTAGTAATTTTCAGACAAGATGAATTAAACCTTAAACATATATATGACGACCATGTCAATACAGATATGTCATATACACAATTTCGAGATTTATGTTCATCTTGTTGGAATAGTGATAAATATGGCTTTGTTGTCATTGACAAAGACAGTGAACTCAATTGTGGTAGATATAGAAAGGGTTTTGATTGTTTTATAATAGTTTGTGAAGTTTAAAAAACATTTTCCCATAGTTTTTAGATTTAGTTATACTAGAGACTTTGTCTAATCAAGATGTCTTCTACAAGAATTGATCATATTTATAAACAAAAAGATCTCGTACAAAATTTGGCAAAAGCCAGCGAAGCAATTCGTCGAAAACATAAATTATTGAAATTAGGTAAAGAGTCCTTTGAGCTAGCATTAGGAGACACTTTTAAACCTATTGTTAATCCTCTGGAAAAGCTAGTTGGTGATATTGAAATACTTAAAACAGTTGATGGTATAAAGAAAGAGAAAAAAATTTAAAAAATGAAGAAGAGGAAAAAGAATTTGACAGTTTCAACGATAATAATTTAAATGAAGAATCATTTAAATCAGCAACATTTGAAGAACACTCACAACCTTTAGAATTATCTGATCAAGAAATACCAATAGCGTCTTCTTCACCATCAACTGATGAAAATACAAGAGAATATCTTACACTTTTAAATCAAAGGAATAAAGATATCGATACTGTATATGGTGTAAGAAAATTAACAAAAGACAGACTGATGATTGGTAATTCTGCAATAAGTTTCAGTCAAAACTATATTCATGTTGGTAACATGACATTTCGCAGTAGTAAAGGGTTACTTGAGCTTCTTTTCAAAAAAAATCCTAGCGAATCTGTTGTGAGTTTAGAGGATCTAGAAAACTTTAAAACAATTATTTTAACAACGAACGCTCATAAAAAACACTACAGCGCTGATGGTGATATTCGTGCGAGTAAAGCCTTTAAATTTAAAAATTTTATTGAAAAATTCTTATCACCTTCTAGAAAAAGTGGTAGCGATAAGAGTTCTTTAGGTGGAGGTATTATTCCACAATATATGACTGCTACAGATGAAAATAAATTGGATTATATCTATTGGGATGATCCAAATGAATTGGTTGATCGATTACGTTTACTGTTAGCATCACAAGCAGCAGGAAATTCAAGTCATACAAACGAAATTTTATCTATTATTGAAGAATTACGAGAAGCTAACATTATTTATTAATGAATTTTATTTGAAAGAAACATTAGTTGAACAATGTCTCTCGACGTATTTGGACGTTCCTTTAGAAAAAGTGAAAATTCAATTCGTGGACCTCCTGGTGTTGGCTTCAAGATCACCACTGAAGGACACTTTGATATTGAAAATAAAAAATTACGCAATATAGCTGAAGCTTCGGAAAACAATGATGCAGTAAATTTAAAATTGGTGCAAAATTTATTAGAAAAAGATGCAGAAGAATTCTACAATAGTATTGCAGTTTTAAGACTGAAAAAAATTAGCTCTCGTTAAAGAGTTACACAAGCCTGCGAGAAGAAATTATTCAAGACGAAAATTTGACATTCGAGGAATCGATGAAACTTGGCAAGCCGATCTTTTGGAAATGACGACATATGCAAAGGAAAATAAAGGTTACAAATACATTTTGACTATCATCGATATTTTCTCAAAATTTGCCTGGGCTGTTCCTGTAAAGAATAAAACTGGTGAAGACGTTACTGCTGCTATGAAATCAGTACTGCATCAAGGTCGTGTGCCAAAAAATTTACACGTTGATCAAGGAAAAGAATTCTACAATACGCACTTTAAGAATCTCATGAAACAATATAAAATAAATATGTATTCTACATTTAGTAATTTAAAAGCTGCAATTTGTGAACGATTTAATCGTACATTAAAAAATAAAATGTGGATGCAATTTAGTTTACACGGTAATTACAGGTGGTTAGATATTTTACAAGAATTAATTTTATCCTACAATAATACTATACATCGAACAATTAAAATAAAACCAAACGATGTAAACAGAATGAATGAACGAAAAATCTTATTTAGTATATATAAAAAATTTAGTGTAAAATCATTGAAAAAAAAATTGAAATTTAAAATTGGTGATAAAGTACGAATAAGTAAATTAAAACATGTTTTTGAGAAAGGATATACACCAAATTGGACAACAGAAATCTTCACCATTGATGTTGTAAATAATACTGAACCAACGACTTACTTACTAAAAGATTATCAAAATAATCCAGTTGCTGGAAATTTTTATCAACAAGAACTCGCTCCAGCTAATAATCCTGATATTTATTTAGTTGAAAAAGTAATAAAAAAACGTGGTAATAAGATTTATGTAAAATGGTTAGGTTTCAATAATTCTCACAATAGTTGGATAGAAAATATGTAATTTTTATTTATATATAAGAAATAAAGATTTTTTATTTTATTTTTTTTTAAAAAAAGTGTTTTTTTTCTTCTCCTTTTAAAAAAGAAATTAAATTTAAGGTTATTAAAACAAATTGAATCACTTTATAAAAAATATTAATTTTATTGCATCGTATTTTTTTTTTTTTTACAAAAAATTATTATCTTCAATAATTCGTAAAATTTCTAAATATTTGAAAATTTCAGCACATAATTTTTTTAAATGAAATGTACACAATTCACAAAATAATCGTGCAATATTAACAGATACATTATCTCTATTCATTAAAATCATTTTAAGTAAACTAAATTCTCTTTTCACAAATTTTTCAATGATTTCTACATCTGTAACTCTATTTCTATTAAACATAATATGTCCAATAGTTTGAATAATAATATTTACATTATTTTGCACAAATAACTCTTCTAAATCAAAAATATTTTGTTCAATACAGTTACTTAAATTTTTTAAAATTTCAAACGTTGTTGCATTAAAATAAAATGGATGTACAGAACTTTTGTCTAAACGTTTAATCATCACAAGACGCTGACCCATGTAGATGACAAATTTTAATTCTAAATTACCACATTTGAAAATACGTGGGTTCATTTGCTTTTGAAAAAAACTAGAAATTTCCGTAAAATAACTGCAAACACAATCCCATTCATATGAATATAAAGATAAGGTTGTTCGTGGATGGCTGCTACATAAATTTACTTGCACAATTAAATTTTTGAAATCGTTGACTGCAAATCCAACAACAATCTGTTTATTGAACGATGGAGTTAGGTTATATGCCGTATGGAGAATTAATGTATCTCTTGGTATATATGCCATTATTCAGAATTGGTTTCATTAGCTGATTGTAATTCAAAATTATTATAATCTCCACCCAAATATTTGAAATAGACTGATCCCTGTTGAATTTCTTCTTTTAATTTATCAAAAAGTTCAAGATGCTTTTCACCATCGAGAAAAAGTTTCACTATTCGTTCTGGTAAAAATACTCTGCATTCATTATCAATTTCAATAAGTATTTTTGGACCAAATCTAGTATTTATGTATTTCAAATCCGAAACATGATACAATTCACCAACTTTCAGCATTTTCATTGGTTTTATTAATAAAACAATATTTGCAACTTGATTAAATTGTTTAAAATCCATCTTTTTTTTTAATATGGAGAATCAAAAAAATTTTATCAACTTTTATTTAAAAAACTATTTTAATTCAATAACTTCTTTTTCTGATTTTTTTTTCTTTCACACTTGAAATTCAGATTAGAACTAAAAAATTAACGCAAAAATCACGCTTTTTTAACAACGGACCCCCACCTTCTCCTACTCTTTCGGACACAAAATTATGACTCAAAAAAATTTTATAAAATGATGCAATAATTATTACACATTAAATTGTAAATTTAATATTTACCCCACCACATTTTTTTTTAAAATATACGCATATCAATCGACAAATCTTAATAACGCATAAGTAAAAAAAGAAATATGACAAACACATTTTTTTTATTTTATTTATATTATCAATGAAATTTTATACTTACCACTTCCACTTTGACTTCACAGAAAAAACTGTGGGAATCGTACAATAAAAAAAATATATATATAACATTACTCATCTTAATCGATAAAAATATTTCTGAGAATTGTTTTTTCAGAATAACCCCCCCTCTCCCTTCCTAAATACTTAGTCATAAAAAAAATGTTACCAAGCAATTTTTTTTAACAAATCCCCCCCCACCCGCATCTCCGCTACGATTATTACGCCGACCACCTTTTCACCCGCAAATCCCCCTTTAATGGCACAGCCCTGGCCTATCACACGGACACGCACCTGCACACATTTATTCACACCGACACAATACTAATTGGTCCAGAACCGGCACTGTATATCTACTTAGATAAATGGAAAGATTTTTATTAAAAATGGAACCAAAAATGTTTCTGCTAATACAGTGGGTGAAAAAACCTTGTGACGTGACCATTATGGAAGAACCAAAAAATTTAAAAGAAATTAATGAAGGTGACATTGTCGTGGTGGACTATCCTAATAAAGGCTTATTTAAAGGAACTCTTCTTAGAAGAAGTGGTAATTATATAATGAATCACATGTAAATTTTGAAAATTAATTATTATGCAATTAATTTTTTAAGACTTTTATTAACTTTAATTGTACATTATTTTTAAAATATTCAAATTTACTGCATACGTAAAAAGACAAATAAAATTTAAAAAATATTTTTTAGAATCGAAAAATTACTTAGAAAATATAAGTAATCAATTAAATAACGATGGGACATTTGTTGAGGTAAAGAAAGTCAAAATTAAAAAATTGAACGAAAAATCAAAAGAAGAAAAGGCCCATAAAGCTTTAAAAAAAAAGATGAGAGCTCGAACAAAGAAAATATTTGCAGAAAATGTTCTTTCTAAATTGAATCCGATTTGTGGTAATGCAAATTATTTTAATAATAAATATAACAATATAAAAATAATAATACAATAATAGAAATAGAAATAATGATAACTAATTGTCTATTTGTTATATTAAATTAAAAAATAAAAAGATTATAATTTCAAAATATATATATACAAAATTTAATTTTTTTAACATTTAACATAGTCATGTACATTTATAACCAAAAATATCTAGATACATTAATTACAAGTTTAAATACATATTTCCAAAAAAGGTGAATCGAAAGCGGAAGAAAATTTGACAGAGCCTAGTAATTCAACTGAAACTAATTTTGACAAAGAAATAAATTTAACAGAAGGAGTCGAATTAACTCAAATTATTGAAAAAGAATCTCATACTACAGTCAGTAAATATTTACTCTATTAATTTTACTCTATTTAACAAAAAGTTTTTGAAACATTTTAAATAAGTTAATTTTTTGTGTAGGTTATATTAAGATATTATACACAATTTAAGAATTAAAAATTTAATAATAAATAAGAATAATAATATAATAACAGTATAATAATAATTTCTAAAAATTTATACAGATGCAGTGAAAAAAACTGGTGCCAAAAAGCATAATGAACAGACGAAAAAAAGAAACCTAAAAGAGGAACAAAAAATTTCAAATTCTAAAACTAAAAAACTAACCTAACAAAAAACAAAATTCAAAATAAAGATAATAAAGGCGCCGAAGAATCTATAGAATCAATTGAAAAAAGCATTTCTAATGGGGATAATGAGAAAAATCAGATATTAAATGAACAAGAAGTACCACTTGAAGGAGCTAAATGCTCTAAAAATGGTAAATTTTTTTAAATGTATATTTATAAAATCTAAAAAACTTTCTCATAAAACAGAAGTAGTAATAAAATAATAAAAATAACAATTTTATAAATTATACAGTTTTGAGGGACAAAAATGAAGCAAAAAAAATTTCAAATTCCGAAATTAAAAAAATTAATATAAAAGAACGTGAAATTGAAGGAAATGACGATAAATATACTCAAAAATCTGTAACATCAAATGTAGCAATAAAATCTGATGAAAGAAACTTTTCAAATAGAGGAAATGAGAATAAAAAATTATTTGGTGAAAAGGAGGCATTAAATAAAGGAGGTAAATACACTCCAATTTTTCTGTGAAACTCAAATACACCCTCACAACACAAGGATATTCAGGATATCCCTGGGACGTCCTGGGGATATCCATTTGCTTTTGGCGATTCGGATATCCCTAAGATATCCTCTGGATATCCATGGACATCTCTAAGATATCCCAGGGATATCCAAACCGCCGAAAACAAATCGATATCCCCAGGACGTCCCAAGGATATCCTGAATATCCTTTTGTTGTGAGGGCAGTTTCATGATATCAAAGATTCTATCTATTTTTAAATATTCCATGTAAAATACTTTGATGTTTTAGAATGTGAAGAGATTGAAAAGGATCTCGTTATTGCATCTGATCTAGAGGAATTACTCACTGTAACAAATGAGAGAGAAATAATAAATAAAAATAAAGTTACAGTTGAAGATGGTAAATTTACTTCGCGGTTTACTTTTTAAATTCACAAAACATTCTCATTTTGCAGAAATAATAATAATCTTTCAAAATTCATGCAGATGCATTTAAAATAAGTGACAACGAAAAACAGAATAAGGAAAATAAAAACGGAAACCAAAAAGAAGACGAGAAAATTGTTAATTCTAGAATTCGAAAAATTAATGCAACAGAAAATAATTTTATAATTGAAAGTAATGAAGATGCAAGAAAATTTATAAAATCAAATGAAATAAATAGTGGTATATCTGATGAAGAAAGCGTTTTAAACGGAGAAAATGAGAAAGAAAAATTAGTGAACAAAAAAGAAGCATTATTTGAAGGAGGTAAAACCACTTAAAACTTACTTTTAAAATCAATTAAATACAATTTTATAAAATAAAAAATCTTGAAAATGTTTTAAAAAATTCTTGGTGTAAAATATGCAGATTTTGCAGGAAGCAAAGAAACTGAAATAAATGACGTTATATCTGATATAGATTTGGTAACCGTAACAAAAGAGGAAGAAATAATTATGAGCAAAAACGAAATTACAGCTGAAAATGGTAAATGTATTTAATCGAAATATACTAAAAAAATTTGGTTTTAAAGAAAAGTAAAATTTTAATTATTTATAAATTAATCTATAACAGTTTTCTATATATTAAAAATTTTCCTTTATTTATACATATTTTTTATATTATTTTAAGCAATGGAGAATGAAAATGTGACAAATAATAAAACGAATATTGCAAATATTAAATTTGAAGATATTTTTACGGATGGTAAGAAAATATAAATATATTTCTTTATCTATCATAAAATTCATGAATTGAATTGATGAATAAATAAGTGTTTTTAGCAAAAATTATTCAAATTACAATAAGATCTTATTCTAATTATTTTAAATTTTGAATGCATTAGTAACATCAGAAGTTGTGACTTTCTGCCAAAAATTAGCAATTTATGCTAAAAAAGCATTTGATGAAAAAAATCAATTGAAGCCATCCATGAGTTAATTATTCTTTTATATAAGACTATTTAAAATAATATAATATTATGTATTTAAAAATTTTAAATTATAAATGAAGGTTGAATTGGATTGAAATGTAATATTTTTACATCATTTATTACAAAATAATTATTTTATATTTTAGGAAATATCCAATGACATAAAATCTCAATCGAAACAATGTCAATCGATGTCTAAATTAGTCGAGGATTCCAATATATGGATTAATCAGGACAAATTATTTTCAATGAAGAGATATAAGAAAGACCCACGAGAACTGACCCGTCAATTATTACTAGCGCTGATAGGGGTAGAAAAGTTAAAAACTATGACGGCTCTTGGAAAAAGAGGAAGTGATGCTGTTCCTGAAGACATAAGAGTTGCAGTTTATAGTAAGCGTAGCTTATCTTCCAATTTTGTATTTTGACTGAGAAGAGAAAAACATTTTCTTAACTTAATTTTTAGTAGAATTTTTTAATATATATATATCAGAGACCATATATATATATAGTTCAACAAATTTTCGAATTCTTTAAAATCTTGCATTGAAGATTTAAATTTTTATACTGTTTTGTAATTAATTTTATTTAGAAAAGGAATATTGTTTTCCGCGATAATTTGAGAAAGTAAAATCTTGCTATTTAATTTATGGTTTTGTTGTTAAATACGAATTCCTTGACTTTTGAAAATTTTTTATTTTACCCCAACGAAGATCTCTAACCCCTAACGCCGACTATAAGTATAAATTAATTATAAAGTATAAATTAGTTATATTATTTTATAGAATACGTAAAATTGAGGAATAAAAACTTCACAGAAAAGGAATTTATAACCACTGTAAATAATCAGTGTGGCACTTTAAAGCATCCTAAAATTGATAAAAAAAATAAAGAAAGAGTTATCTGCTGTTGGTAGTTTTCAAAGCACAGAAACAATTTCTAAATTGATTAATGACAAAGAAGAAGCACAGAGCACCAAAAGAAGTGAAATTAATGAAATTCAGGAGACACAAGGCACGAAAGAAGATGAAAATAATAGGAAAAGGAAATTTTCAAACAGCAATAGCAGCCTTAATGACCCAAAAAGAAAACCGGCGAAAGAATTATAAGTGCAGTGTTTACAAGGTCAACAATTTATGTTCCTTAATTATGATATTAATCGTTAAATAACTTAATTATTTTGATTGTATTCACAAGTTGCATTTAATAAAGTTGAAGAGAATAGTTTATATTTTTAAATGAAATTATTACAGATTAGTATTATTAAGCACGTTGAGACATTTTGATCTGATTTATAATATATATTTGATTAAAATTCAAATAAAAATAATTACTCTGTGTAAAGTGATGTCTAGCTTTAATTTTGAAATTAAATTGCAGTTGAAATTCAATTAGAAATTTAATTCATTTGAGTGATTTTTTATAACGTTTCTTAAGGTAAATTTGATCATCTAATTGTTAAACATTGAACATTGGAAATTTTTAATAATAAATTGATAAATTAACAATCACTTCGAGACAAAAAAGTGATTATAAATTCAAAAATTATTATTAAAAATTAATAAATTCTATCTCAACATTTTTTTTAAATGGCGCTTTAAAGAAATTTAAAATAAAGTTTTACCAGAAATAAATTTAAAGAAAGTATCTCAGAAAATATTAAAATATACGATCAAGCAATAAAATACGAACAAATCCCATCATCCCATTGTTGAACAATGGGAACTGGACAAATCCAATGCTCAGCCCATACAATGGGTAACAGTGGGCAAAAATTTTTGATGACTCAATCTATGGTTTGTATGTCTTCTCCCACCATTTAAATTTCTCAGCCCATGCTTTATATTTTTTATCCCATGGCCAACATTTCTACGCGAGTGTTGAAACTTAGACTTCCGTATATATTAAAACTGTATTTTTGTTTTCTTCATTTTTAGGGTTACGTTCACGCAGTGAACCGAAACAGAACTCTTATGGTTTCACTCATGTCCATCCACAATATCTTACGCTCCCCCTTAATATCTAGCCATTTTAATCGATTAGGCTCAAACTTGGTATACATATGTATTTTCGCGAGTAGATTAAACGAAAATTATAGGGAACCCGATTAGAATTGAATCGCATATAGTTATAGTCCAAAAACTCGAAATTTCGGAAAAAACATGCCCCCCTTAACTTTTACAGTTTAGGAGCTACGATGCTCAAATTTGGTATACATACGTATTTTCGCCAGTAGATTAAAGAAAAATTATAGCGAACTCAATAAGAATTAAATTGAATATAGTTATATTCCAAAAACTCCAAATTTCTGAAAAAAGCTTGTCTCCCCCATCTTAACTTTTACTGTTTTGAAGCTAAGAAGCTGAAACTTGGGACACATTTAATTTCACGTATAGATTTAAAAACTAATGTATAAGCAGGTGTCGTCGGATTTATTAGTCGCTAATTATATAGATAGTACGTATTTTTATAGTCTTCCAAAAGCAAAACTCAGGGAAGTCCTGGAAGAACTAGTTTTTCTCCAAAAAATTGTACATTTTCTTTTATATTAAATAAATATAAAGTTGGTTTCAGGTAAATGACCAACCTAATAAAAAAATTTATTAGTTGTTCATTACCGCAACAACAATATATATATAAATATTTAAATAATCGTAGACGGAACCCTGAGTAAGCGAGTGTAACTCGCACTTGACTAATTTTTTTAGTCATTTTCTTTAAGGGGCTCTAATTCCCCACCTTCCCCTACTCTATATAAATAATGGTAAATCTATATACCTATTTAGTCTATCAAAAGTTATAATCATGGATGAATCGTTCACTCTCACTATCTTAGGAAATTCGTCTATTCTCGAGGTTAAATATTTTCCTCCTATAGAATTATTACATCATAAAAATTATGTGCTTTACTTAGTTGATATGTTAACATTTAATTCAATACCAAATATACATGAAAGCAAAAATAAATTTCATATTGGTAATCATGTAATTACTACACCCCCTGGGAGTTATGAAATTGCAGATATTGAAAAATTTAAGTAGTATAACTATGTCACTTTCAGGAATTAGTACCTCAGGCTCCCGCTAGATGGCTCCACCGTCGGTTGGTATTATCATCAGTGGATAATGTAGATTTCTATATTATCAGCAGGTAGGTTATGTTAAGTAGGTTTAAAGACTACACATGTAGTTGGACCTACTGTCGTTTTGTACTCTGAAAGAGTAAGGGGGGTTTTGTAAGTGGAGGGGATACGTGTATATATAAGTGTCTCAAGGTATTAAGAATAGCAGAGCGACAATGAAGAAAGCAGCCAAGCAGACACCATAATCTTAACCTCCGAAGATGACCAAGCCGATACAATAATTCTATCCTCTTCTGAAAATGATATGCAGGAGAGGATATTTGGAGTCCAGGTTACTACACCCTTGGAGATTATGATTATGTAGATGATGAGAATATAAAATTTTAAACTTATTTAATATTTTTCAGTTGGAACAATTTGCAGCAGAGAATGTGTTGCGAGAACAAAACAGGGATCCTCAACCAACATCTACAGAATCTGTACCAAATCAACCAACAACTCCTGAAGCAATTGTATCGCCATGACGGTCACCATCTGCAGAAGCTGTTGAAAATCAAATTAACGAACGAAGACGACATGCCAGGAGTCATCGATGTAAATGTAGACGGTGTCATCGTCGACATAGACATCACTGTAGTTGCCACAGACACCACTATCACAGAAACCACCATCACAGACATCACCATCACAAACACCACCATCATAGAAACCACCATCACCTGCGAAACCCAGAAAATTTAAAAAAATTTTATGTTTAAAAAGGTTTAAAAAAAAATAATTTTAAGAAAAATAAATAATTTAACAAATTATTTTTTTTCAAACTTTGTAAAAAAAATTTCAAATAATTTTTAAATAAAAATTTTATTTTTTAATTAAATATTTTTTAAATTGATTTGTTTAAAAAGAGAAATCATAATTTATAAGACTTTTCTCTTTTATATATATTGAAATTTCCATAAAAACAAAACATGACAACTTTATTGATTTACTTTTGTAAAAATTTAAAATCACTTTTAAAATTAAATTTATAATTAAAGTTGTTTAAAAGTTTCAACTTTATAAAGTCGTGATCGAATTACATGTTGAGTTCTTGTCTGAATTGCAAAATTTTGTAGACAGTTAGTATAATCATTGAAATTGATATATTTTTTTACAACTAACGATCTAACTTCCTTAGCTTTCTTTGTAAAATCCTGACCATTTACACGAATACTATACATCTTACTCCTTAAACCAACAAATTCTGTGATTATTTTTCCACTACATTCATCTTTGATAAGTCCAAGTACTTTGTTGTTGGCTTGAGGAATATTATAAATATTATCCTTTGGATAATCCGACGTATCAAACTTATGAATATCCTCCTTCATATCTACATAAATATCAGCACACTTTATTTCATAAATTAAACTATCAGTATCTGTATACATCAGCTTACAAGATTCACCATACTTTTTTAACATGTAATCATAATGAAAGTCATAAATAAGTGACTTGGATTGTTACGATGTAAAAGAGTTTGTTAAATTGGGATATTTAAACATTATTAATCTGCTCTTCGGAGTTTCTCTCGCAACAACCCAAATGATAATAATATCATTTAGTTTATAATTTTATGGGACGGTATTCCTCTCCAATCGGTATATCTCATCAGGAACAAGGGATTTAAACAAAGGGTAGCAAAATGAATAAGTCTTCTTATTCCGATTAATAGTTAATTTGATAACAATATGTTTATTTACTCGACTTTTAATCCTTCACACAACCAACTACAATGCATCTAAAAATGTTAACTCAAGTCAAGGCTCGACTTTATTTTATGAAGTTTCATGAATGATAATTTTTGTTCAGTTGTTCATTGAAACGATACAATTTTACTTACGTAACCGCCTTAATTCCTACCGCACTGAAGGAGTAGAGAAAAG